AGAGAAATGCAAATCAAAACTACAATGAGATATCATCTCACACCGGTCAGAATGGCCATCATCAAAAAATCTAGAAAAAATAAATGCTGGAGAGGGTGTGGAGAAAAGGGAACACTCTTGCACTGCTGGTGGTAATGTAAATTGCTACAGCCACTATGGAGAACAGTATGGAGGTTCCTTAAAAACTACAAATAGAACTACCATACTACCCAGCAATCCCACTACTGGGCATCTACCCTGAGAAAACCATAATTCAAAAAGAGTCATGTACCACAATGTTCATTGCAGCTCTATTTACAATAGCCAGGACATGGAAGCAACCTAAGTGTCCATCATCAGATGAATGGATAGAGAAGATGTGGCACATATATACAATGGAATATTACTCAGCCATAAAAAGAAATGAAATTGAGTTATTTGTAGTGAGGTGGATGGACCTAGAGTCTGTCATACAGAGTGAAGTAAGTCAAAAAAAGAAAAACAATAATTTATTCCTAACCCATATATAGGGAATCTAAGGGAAAAAAAAAAAGGTCATGAAGAACCTAGGGGTAAGACGGGAGTAAAGGCACAGACCTACTAGAGAATGGACTTGAGGATATGGGGAGGGGGAAGGGTAAGCTGTGACAAAGTGAGAGAGTGGCATGGACATATATACACTACCAAACGTAAAATAGATAGCTGGTGGGAAGCAGCCGCATGGCACAGGGAGATCAGCTCCGTGCTTTGTGATCACCTAGAGGGGTGGGATAGGGAGGGTGGGAGGGAGAGAGACGCAAGAGGGAAGAGATATGGGAACATATGTATATGTATAACTGATTCACTTTGTTATAAAGCAGAAACTAACACACCATTGTAAAGCAATTATATACTCCAATAAAGATGTTAAAAAATTTTTTTGACTATTAGCCAAGAGTAATCAGTAGATATTTAAAATACTAGATGATTTTTCCTAATAAGATTAAATATACTACATATAAGCTTCTTATGTTCAGTTGTTTATATAAGAATTCAGGAAATTTTTGCCTATTCCTTCTTGCTCTTAACTTTTTGGATACAGCTTGTTTTCTTGTGCTGTCTGATGTCTGATATCAGCGCATAGGGCTTAGCATTGCCATTCTGGCACTGAAAATGAAACCCTGAAATGATACACTGAACATGAAACACTGAAATGAAACACTGAAAATGATAGATATGGTGAGAGCTGTAGGGTCTTCATATTTATTTTTCATATACAATATGTTTGGCTGCTTTAGAAGTTTTTAATGGAGAGAAAGAAACCAGCAGAAAATTACTGTACACATATTACATAGGCAATGTGTTTTAATGCTGTTTCCAATTTTCCATTTCTTAGCCTAAACCCCAGCCCTATGTGATGCCTCCCCCACCCCAGCTGCATTATAATGGACATTATACAGAACCGTACACTTCTTCCCAAGGTAAAGTACACTATTTCTGAAATGCCTTGCAAAATTATTATGAATAAATTAATGAGGACTTGGAGATCTTGAAGCCAGGATAGTTTTTGGCTGAAGTTACATCCAAAGTTGTTGTCATGATTATAGCCAACCTGGATTCATAGAAGAAGCTGCCATTATAAAGTCAGTTTTTTGGAAATGGGTGGAAAATATTCAATATCAAATTTTGATGCTCAAATTTGGCCCACGGGCACTCCTTCAAGGTGGTTCCCGTGTCCTGTTAACACACCCCAGTAGCCTTTGAGTGCTTCCTTGCTTTCTAGCCTGGGATGTCCCAAGCTCATTTTGTTTCTTCCTCCCTGAGACCTTCCCACTGTAAAGTATTAAACGTTTTATTTTTATCTATTTACGTTCATCTTTCACATGATGGGTATAGGGAGCTGTATTTAAACAGCGCCTCCGAAGCTAAATCTCCAGCATTCATTTTACAGACTCTGCCTACAGGGCTCTACTATAAAGGCCGAGGAGATTTATGCAGAGAAGCAATTCCATATCTCAAGAAGCTTGGAATCTAACAGTGGAGGATAAGACAAGTACACAAATAACTTAAGTACAAAGAGAACATGATTGTTGTGATGAGAGAGAGCGAGCAATTGCTCATCATGTTGGAGAGACTGAGAAAGGCTTTTTGGACCTCGAAAGATGGGTAGATTTCCATATGTAGAGAGAGGCAGTTCCCGTTGGGATTGCTGCTCCTGGTTTTGTGAAGGGGTGTTGGATAGTGAATGCGTTGGCATAAACAAGGAAGAGGGTGGCTGGACTTAGTCCCACAGGGAACTGGTAGAACATGGTGTGTGAAGGGACCGGAAGGTGGGTGGTGACGCATTGCTGGTGCCGGGCCTTGTGTGTAAGATGAGACTTTCTGTGCAGCGCGACGGGTGGGTGGGAGGGGACGGATTGGGCTCTGGGTTCCCAGAGTGTCCCCCTCAGGATGTTTTCACCTTCCTCACGGTCTTCTCCTTGCACGCTGCCCTTCTTTGGTTTTGTGACCCCAGCTCCCACCCACTTCCGGGAAAAGGCTCTTCTCTCTGCACTGTTAATGTTTCCTTGCTGTTCATCCCTTTTCCTCCATCTGCAAGCATCCTACTATTTTTCCTCTCTTCTCTCTTCAAACTGCAGTTTGAATTATTTTTTTCTTTCATTTTTCACCCCACTTCTGAGAGTAACACGTGTGTGCTCCTTCTGCCTCCTGGTTACCCCTTTACTTCTCCTACCTTTGCTACTCTGTTCAAGCTGCCCTCTCACGGGTCCCCGGAGCCCCGCACATTCTCCTTCCCATCCGATTCCAGCAGTCTAGCCTCTTGACAGACCTCTCTTCCCTGCGCTGGGTTCTCCCTCCTCCTGTACCATCGGTGTTCACTGCTCCCAAAGTCTGCCCAGGGCCTCCTCTCCCCCCGCGGGCTTCCGCAGCAGCCTCGTTTCATCCGTGGTTCGGGTTTCAGCGAGGATGACTGTCTGAGTTTCCCACCCCGTCATCACTGCTATGCTCCAGCCCCACATTTCATCTGTCTTACAACTGTTGGGGCAGTGAAGGGAGCTACTGCATGTGAGCCCTCAGCGGGCTACCCGGCTGAGTTGGAAGCACTCAGTGAATATTATCCACCATTACAGCTTACTGAAGACTGACATCCTGCATTTGAGCCCATCACTCTAGTCCACAAGTCCCTTTGCCCAAGTTCCTTACTTCTTTACGACGAAGTCACCCTCCTGGTTACTTGGATTCCAAACTGCATGTAATTTTTCTTTTCTCTTTTTGCCTTCAGTACCCCGACAGTTGCAAACCCTATTGCCTTTGATGAACTCCATGTAACATCTCTTCCATATCCCCTTCGCCATGTCCCTCTGCTCCTAATCCAGTTCTTTTTTTTTTTTTTTTTTTTAAGCGTCTCAGTTCTTGCATCATAGCTGCTGATATCTTCAGTCTTCAATCCCCACTCTCCCTGGTTCACCTGACACTCAGCAGCCAGGCTCATCTTATCCCATCTCCCTGACGATCGTTCCTTTGTCTAGTGTTCAACGTTCTCTGTGATGTTTCTTCATGCTACTCTTCCTGTCTTATTCCCCACTGTTCTCTATCCTCTCCGGCTACCTGGTACTCCAGCCAGACCGAGCACGCCCTCTGTGCCTCGTCTCCCAGCTTTGCCCGCATTGCTCTGTCACCCACAAGGGTCCTTATCCCACACACCCTCCTGCCCACATGCTTCCGCCCAGTCAGGATGGGCTAGGCTGCCGTGTGGGAACAGATTCTAAACTCTTAGTGGCTTACACGGGAAAGCTTACTTCTTTCTCAGGTTACCCGTGTCCATCGTGCACTGGCAGGAGGGCTCTGCTCCATGTCAGCCTCCCCAGGGACTCGGGCTGGGGTCCCTTTCTATCTGGAATGTTGGGCACGGTGGCAAGGAGAAGGGAGCCTGGAAATTGCTGGGTGGGATCCGCGCGCACTCAGAGGTAGAGAGCCCGGCTACTGATGAAACCCCACCCACATACCCCAAGGCCCCTTGAGGGCTGTATCCCCTGGGGGGTTGTTCTTGGTCTTCTCCCTGTCCCATCAGCCTGGCCCAATCTGGAAGCGATCCTTCCCTCCTCCGGACTCCTGTAACGCTTATCTCCTTTAATTGTCACGCTTCTTCCTTGGATTCTGGTGATTTTGGTACACACCTTTCCCTTTATATTTATCTGGATTCCAGTCATTTTCCCCCTGTTAGTTCTTAGCATAGTCTTTTACACATACAGACTCGTAAATGAATGGTTCACGGAGTACCCAGAGGAGCCTGGAGATGGGGAGGCCAGGCCGGCGGGTATTGTGCGAGTCTGGACGGGCTTGAATGAGGCTGAGCTGTGACAGCAGTGAGTAGAGGGGACTCCATAGACGCACATTGCAGAGAGTTCCAGATACGGGAAATGGACAGGAACAAGGAAGCATTGTGTGTCCACAGGAAGAAACAGTGGTGCGTTTGAGGCCCACCCCTTTGTGGCTGTATGTGCCACACACGAGGCTGTGGCATGTTCACTTTGATAATCATTTGGCACTTAAACCGACAAGAGGCTTTTGAATCGAAAAAAGAATGCTTTTTGATGGCAACTGTTCTCTGATGGTTAGAAATCACCCTCATTAGTTTTCCAGGTGAACTACAGATTGGACTGAAGAAACATGCCTCCTACCAGCCCCGAACAGGCGCACACACAGCCAAGCTAGATTCTGCTCTTGGACCCCAATCTTACTGAAGCATGGGGGCTGGAGCAGGGGGCAGGTGTGGCTGTCTTAGCAAGGGTCTTCTTGGCTTCTGGCCCCTAGTGAGGTATACAGCTACTGGTGACACTGTTGGACCTGAAGAGGCTCAGATCCTGCCCAACTATTGCCCTTTTGTGTCTTCACTGTGGAAGAATCTCTACAGCCCACCTAGGGTTTCATTTAAGGAACTGTTTACAGAAAGGTGGTGCTTGAACTAGCTCAGCATCATCAAGGCCACATCTCCAGTGAGGGGAGAAAGCAGAGTCAGAGACCCAGAGCCTTGAACAGTATCTCTGCCTGCAGTCCCCCAGACTTCCAGAAAGCCTGCTTTGTGTCTCTAGTAAAACACGTTTTTGACTTTCAGAAAAAGACAGTGTTTTGTGGTACAGTTGTACTCTTAATATTGGACTTAGATTTGGCTGCTCTTTATTGGGTGTCAAACCCTGAATACCATCCTTAGAGTAGGCAGGGCCATCCCCATTCTCTAGATGAGGAGGCGAGGCTCCCAGAAACCCCCTGTCCAGGGTCACTCAGAGCTGTGGCTACAGCCAGGTCACTTCAGGGTGGAGTTTCATGAGGTACGCTGAGAATGTCATCAACATTCGGGGCCTGTCTCAGTATTTGTCTAGAGTAATTGATCCACTTTTGTACATTTAGAAAATCTCATTTTAAAATATACATTTTTTTTTTTTTTTTTTGCGGTACGCGGGCCTCTCACTGCTGTGGCCTCTCCCGTTGCGGAGCACAGGCTCCGGACACGCAGGCTCAGCGGCCGTGGCTCACGGGCCCAGCCGCTCCGCGGCATGTGGGATCTTCCCGGACCGGGGCACGAACCCGTGTCCCCTGCGTCGGCAGGCGGACTCTCAACCACGGCGCCACCAGGGAAGCCCTAAAATATACATTTTAAATGTTTTGTTTTTCCCCCCAGATAACCTGTTTGTGACCAGCCAGAATGGATTCTACTGTCACTCTCAGACAAGTCTGGATCGAGCCCAGATTGACCTGAGTGGTCGCCTCCGCGACGGCAGTGTCTACAGTGCACACAGCACCAGCTCCTTAAATAACCCCCAGCCCTACTTGCAGCCCTCACCCATGTCCTCGAACCCGAGCATCACCGGGAGTGACATCATGAGGCCTGACTACGTCCCGTCGCACCGGCACAGCGCCCTGATCCCCCCGTCCTACCGCCCGACCCCCGACTATGAGACGGTGATGAAGCAGCTCCACAGAGGCCTGGCGCCCGCCGACAGGCAGAGCCACTCGCTGAGAAACCTCAACATCGGCAGCTCGTACGCGTACAGCAGGCCCGATGCGCTGGTCTACAGCCAGCCCGAGATCCGGGAGCACGCGCACTTCAGCTCCCCGCCGTCGGCCCACTACCCGTTCAACCTGAATTACAGTTTCCACAGCCAGGCCCCTTACCCGTACCCCGCAGAGAGGCGGCCGGTGGTGGGTGCCGTCAGCGTGCCCGAGCTGACCAACGTGCAGCTCCAGGCCCGGGACTACCCAGCCCCCAACATCATGAGGACGCAGGTGTACCGCCCGCCGCCCCCCTACCCGTACCCCAGGCCCGCCAACAGCACCCCTGACCTGTCCCGCCACCTCTACATCAGCAGCAGCAACCCCGATCTCATCACCCGGCGGGTCCATCACTCTGTCCAGACGTTCCAGGAGGACAGCTTGCCGGTGGCGCATTCCCTGCAGGAGGTCAGCGAGCCCCTGACCTCAGCCCGGCACGCCCAGCTCCAGAAGAGGAACAGCATTGAGATCGCCGGGCTGACCCACGGCTTTGAGGGCCTGCGGCTCAAGGAGAGGACCATGTCGGCGTCAGCGGCGGACGTGGCTCCGCGGGCCATCTCCGCGGGCTCCCAGCCAAACGTCGTCACTGAAAGGACAAAGCGAGAAGAGGACGATGAGCAGCAGAGCCTGAGATACGGTCACAAAAAGTCCCTTTCAGACGCCACCATGCTGATACACAGCAGCGAGGAGGAGGAGGAGGACTTGGAAGAGGGGCGCGGGGCGCAGGCGCGGGCGCCCCCGGGCAGCTACTCCCAGCAAGCCCCGCGGAGCGGCCCCCACACGCCCGGCCCCCCGGCCGCCGGCCCCACACACAGCCTTGAGCCCAAGGCCCACGTCACTGAGGCCGAGAGAAAGGGGAGGGCCGGCAGCCCAGTTCCCATGCCCGGGGAAGGCCCGCGGCCCAGGAGGGACGGGCTGCTGACGCCCTCCATGTCCGAGTCCGACCTCACCACGTCCGGGAGGTACCGCGCCAGGAGGGACTCTCTGAAGAAGAGGCCGGTGTCAGATCTCCTCTCCGGAAAGAAGAACGTCGTGGAAGGGCTTCCGCCGTTAGGGGTGAGCCGTTCAGTGGGCACGGGGGCTCACCCAACCCAGCACGGTGCCCTGTACACCTGACTTTTCTCAACACCTGCTGCCCTCTATCCATCTTTTCTTTCACTCATTACTTCTGATGTTTTACAGCTTTTTTCCTTTTAAGTTGTTTCAACTCCCTCCCCCCACCAGCCAACACATATTTTGCCCAGTTTTTGTCTTATTTTGTAATACTTTGAGTTTGAGTATCTATGGAAATAATGGGGAGGGATTAGAATTTTCGTGGTTTTGCTGGAGGTGATAACTTAGGTGAAGTGAAAGGTAAATGTAGGAGGCTCTGTGGAATGGAAGAGAAAGAATGAATGGGAAGTTTTAGTAATGCAGTGTGATGGGAAACGAAGTAAAGGTTTCACGACTTTAGCCAGGATTGCTTTGTCAGTCACCCGTAAAAATACCCCGCTGTGGTGCAGGGTCTAGGGCTGCTCTTGTTCAGTTTGCTTGTTTGGGGTCTGAGGGAAGCATTCCCCGAAGTGTCCCTAATGTATTCCTTGTGTCGCAGTCCGTGTGGGTACAGCTTGAACTGCTGGGCTGTGATCTCTGAGGGCTGGAGGGTGATTCTGGAGCTGGAAGGTGGCACTTTGTCAAGACAAGAAACCCAAGAGCTCCAGGTCTCTTTATTTATTCTTTACATCTTTATTGGAGTATAATTGCTTAACAATGTTGTGTTAGTTTCTGCTGTACAACAAAGTGAATCAGCTGTAAGTATACATATTCCCCATATCCCCTCCCTCTTGAACCTCCCTCCCACGCTCCCTATCCCACCCCTCTAGGTGGTCACAAAGCACCGAACTGATCTCTGTGCTATGCGGCTGCTTCCCACTAGCAATCCATGTTACATTTGGTAGTGTATATGTGTCCATGCCACTCTCTCACTTCGTCCCAGCTTCCCCTTCCCCCTCCCCCGCCCCATGTCCTCAAGTCTGTTCTCTACGTCTGCGTCTTTATTCCTGCCCTGCCACTAGGTTCATCAGTACCATTTTTTTAGTTTCCATATATGTGCGTTAGCATATGGCATTTGTTTTTCTCTTTCTGACTTACTTCACTCTATATGACAGACTCTAGGTCCATCCATCTCATTACAAATAATTCAATTTTGTTCCTTTTTATGGCTGAGTAATATTCCATTGTGTATATGTGCCACATCTTCTTTATCCATTCATCTGTCGATGGACATTTAGGTCGCTTCCATGTCCTGGCAGTTGTAAATAGAGCTGCAGTGAACATTGTGGTACATGACTCTTTTTGAATTATGGTTTTCTCAGGGTATGTGCCCAGTAGTGGGATTGCTGGGTCATATGGTAGTTCTATTTGTAGTTTTTTAAGGAACCTCCATACTGTTCTCCATAGTGGCTGCACCAATTTACATTCCTACCTCCAGGTCTCTTTAAAAGAAAGACTGAGTGAACTGAGAACCCAAGGAAGGTCCCTTGTAGAAAATGCAGCTCCTTACTATTCAGGATGATAAGTAACCGTGGTTTAAGCACTTTTTATCTACTTGAGGCAAAATATAAGAGAGCATAACATCATCTCTAGCAGCCATTCCCAGAGCATTTACCATGTGCTGAGCAGGCCATCTGCTTTACCATGTCCAGTTTACAACAGGCCTATTGTTTCTACAGATGAGAAAATAGACTCTGAGATATTAAGTAACTTTCCCAAGGTCACACATCTAATGAGTGACCGAACTGAAATTTTAAAACCATATTTATCTCCTCAACTGGTTCTCCTGTCTTCTACATTGTTCTGCATCGAAGTAGTATATTTTATTAAGTAATAATTGCTTGTCTAAGCTTTGCTGTTCTCTGTCTTTCCACTGAAACCTTTTAACTCTGAGTTCCTCAGCTTTGCCCAGGCATCTGTGGCATTGTCATGTCAGCGTGTCCACTCTGAGTCATCTGGCTTCCTTGCTCAGGCTCCTCCTTGCCCAGGGCTCCATTCCCTGTGCCCTGTGCTCCTGCCAAGTGAAAGTGATTAATTAGCCTATGCATTTTGTCTCCCAGTTGCTCCCAGTGTCCTGGCAGCTAGGGACTCCTCCCCCCATTTTTGCTGGTGGGCATATTCAGACCTGAGGGCATGTCACAAATGTGGTTCTGCCCTAGTGTACTATTAGATCTTCTAAGATGCTACAGACATCTTCATAAGCAGGAGGAAAGTTCACACAGTATTATAGTGGTTATGAAATAGATCAGCACACACAGACTCAAACTCCTTACAGTAGTGCCGTGAATTTAAACGTGTTTCCTTTTAATGGGTTGGAATTGTAAATTTATTTTAAATTTTTCTTGGGAGTACATTCTTAACTCATCTGTCTGACAGTAAAGGCCAGTGTCTCAGGTCGGCTGAAGCGGAGGGCATGGGCTCACAATCAGTGATTCAGGGCAGGACAGGGTGTGGACGTGTCTCCCGAAGTAACTGCCTGAGTCCTGAGCCAGCTGGACGGGGCCCTCTCATAGTTGACACTCTTCACTGATTACATCATGAACATAGTTTTTATGTGTGACCTGAGTCTTTCCCCGAATGATACTTGTTTTGAGTAGAGTCCAGTATTCAAGCCTATTGTCCCTGTAGTTTTGAATGGCCCAGCAAATTCTGCTAAATCTGAGGACTTTTATCGGTTTGGTTCTCTAAAAATACAAAATTTCCCCCTCATTGACTTTTAGACCTATAGTATTAGTGACATTATGTGATTGGATTATCCTTTTTCACCCCTTCTTTTCACATAAGGGGTCTCCCTACTTAAGGAATGTGAATGGCAGCTGTGGCCCAGGAAAAGGTACAGGACCTAAGAGTGGAAAACTTGGGTCTGAGTCTAGAACCTGCCATTCATTAGTTCTCTGCCCAGTGGGCCGGGCCCTTCACACACCAGAGCCTCAGCTTCTCCATCCGTAACACAGGACGGTCACCCCTCCTCTGTCTGCTGTGGCGTTGTGTTAGGTCCCACATAGGGTTAGGCATGAAAAGTGCTTTCTAAATTCTATGATGCAGCATAACTGCTTTTAATGCACGGATTTTATTGTGTTGACCCTATTTGCCATGTATAAAGAGGCAGCTGTGTGACACTGGGCAAACAACTTAATCTCTCTGACTCCCATTTTCTCATTTGTAACCGAGATGACCCCAGAGGGTTGTTGGGGGAAAATGCTCCGTCAAGTTTAACTTGTTACTGTTAGGTGGCATCATACATTTAACTTACTGGCTTCCCAAGAGCTGAAGAGTCCAACCCCCTGCTAATCCTCTGACCCCCTTCATAGTAACTCAGGGTGGCCATTATTTTAATTGTTACAGCAAGCGAATATACTAATGCGAATTATGGTTCTAGAGGTTTAGTATTAAAAACAGTGAAATAAATTGCAGAGAAGCAGGAACATTTTAGAATTCTCCACCCATCTCCACCTATGGCGACTTGATTGCTATCTGGAAAAGGTAGACTGGTTTGAGTGCTTGTGCATCTGCATAGAGTTTTTGTTTCACCCTTAGTCTTATGTGGTGGTTCTGACACGAGAAATCACTGTACGGGTTGTACATTTAAAACCATGCTCTTGTACTCTGAGGGCTAAGTGAGGGGTATTTGAAGTGAGTTTTGACTATAAGACCCTTTCTTCAAATACTGGCTTTGGGGCTTCCCTGGTGGTGCAGTGGTTAGGAATCTGCCTGCCAGTGCAGGGGACACGGATTCAAGCCCTGGTCCGGGAACATCCCACATGCTGTGGAGCAACTAAGCCCATGCGCCACAACTGCTGCACTCTAGAGCCTGCAAGCCACAGCTGCTGAAGCCTGTGCACCTAGAGCCCGTGCTCCGCAACAAGGGAAGCCACCACAATGAGAGGCCGGCGCACCGCAACAAAGAGTCGCCCCCGCTCACTGCAACTAGAAAAAGCCCATGCGCAGCAATGAAGACCCAGCACAGCCAAAAATAAATAAAATAAAATAAATTTTTAAAAAAATACTGGCTTTAGAACTGACCTTACCAATCATCCAGCACACGTGTGCTGGGGCCTTTTGAGTCATTTTCAGGCCAAGCAGTGCTGGAGCCACCTCTGCTGGCTGGTGGGAGCTGAGTGTTAAATTTTCAGGCTCTTGTGAGGCCTCTGATGTTACACTGGCAGATTGAAATTAGCTGTGATGGGAGTATTTGTACCGTGGAACCTGGCAAACTTCACACATCAGAACTGTTCCCACTCCCCCGCCACAAAGTCCATTGTTAAACATTTACCTGCTTTCTGCACACCACTGTTTTCTGCACACATGAGAATCATGACATTTTAGCCTAAGCAGGAACCTTTTAGTCTGTGTAGCCTCCCTCTCTCCAAGGCTGACAGAGCTGCAGTAAAGTTGATTTTATTTATGAGACAGAAGAGAGCTGCTGATTTCATTTATGAGCTAGAACTGAGAAAACCATTTCTGTCAAATTAGGGCTACAGTTGTGATAATTACTGTGGCTTCCAAGGAGGTGTAGACTGTTGAAGAAGACTTGGCATTCTTGGGCTTGTTTGCCTCAGAGAGCAAAATCATTGGCTTTAATAATAACTTTAGGAAACACCAGTTTTCAGGAGACAGAATTCCGTCTATGCCCTCTCTTGTACCCTCTCTTGGTATAATGATGTTCTCCTCATTTAAAAATGTGGTGGTTCTAACTGCATTTACCAGAGGTGTGGTGAGCCAACCCAGGTCACACAAGTCTGCCACAGAATGTAGAATACAATAGAGCCACCAGAGAAGACACTGAAAAAGAACGAATTTGTATTTTTTTAAAATGTATAAAAGCTTATTGCAATGAGGTGACTGCATTTAAAACCCTCTTTGTGGATTGCAGCTGATTTTTGTGTGTGTCGCGGTTTGATATTCAGGAGTCCCGTGAAGGAATGCTGTCTGCTTGGAGCCTCACCTTTCATTACAACAGAGCCCTGAAACCAGTTGCATTTCAAAACCTTATATCTGGAAGACTTATCAGGGCTTTGCCCTTAAAAGGAATGTCTTCCTCCTAATCTTTGTGAAACAAACGTGTGTGTGTGTGTGTGTGTGTGTGTGTGTGTGTGTGTGTGTGTGGAGTGTAAGCTCTCCTGTGGTTGTTGGTTTAGGAGAACCCACCCTCTGTTAACTGTCTTCAGTCCACTGAAATCTCTTTTCAAAGGGATTGTATTTGTGTATATTTGATATATACATATAAATATTTTTGTAGGGAATGAAAAAGAGCCGAGTAGATGCAAAAAAAATTGGTCCTCTCAAACTGGCTGCCCTAAATGGACTCTCCCTGTCTCGACTGCCTCTGCCTGATGAAGGAAAGGAGGTGCCTGCCAGAGCCACGAATGATGAGAGGGTACGTACCAGACCACGGGTCTGCACGCCTGCCCTGGAACCGCTGATACAGTGTTGCAGAACTGCCTTCTTGAGATTTTCCTGAATTTTCTAACACATTTGATAATTATAAACGAGTGTTAGGAATTTTGTCATCTGGCCTTCAAAACTGGGGCAAATTTATAGCTAATGTCTTAAATAGATAATTTCAGGCTAAATGTTGATTTTTGTCTGTTGGTTTCTGAATACTGTTCTTTACCTTCTTCTGGCCGTGAATTTAGAGGAAATGTGCATATACACATAGGAAGGAAAGTAGATATCGACTGCTTTCATTACATCGAAAACTTAACAGTGAATGGTTACTGAATTTTTCAAAACTTTGTGACTGAGATGTATTTGCTATGAGGTTCTATGATACCAAAATTAGACAGGCATGGATTATGCTAAGCAAAAATTAATTTGCTTACAACTGGAGATAGTTTCCAATAATCTTTTCTGTTTTCTTTATATATTATAAAATTGCAGCATTTGTTCATAGAGGTTGGAATTGATTATCCTACTTTAGGATTTACTGTTCTTCAGGAGAATTTTCCATTCTTAGGGAGTCATATAATTGACTATAGATTTAGAGAAGATGAATTCAATGAATTGTTTTAGGCCAAGTTTACACAGAAGTCTGCATCATGTTTCTCACCAATAATATTTCATTTGTTCTTTTGTTGTTATGACTTGTTAAATTTAACTTTGGTTTCATCTAGAATTTTCAATATTAGATAATACTGGACTTGAAGCAGAAAGTGAGATTTCAAGTGTACGGTCAAAATGCAGCTGTGGCATGGGACTGTATTCATATTATTCCTCACTTTCTATTTTTCAGTGTAAAATTCTGGAACAGCGGTTAGAACAAGGAATGGTATTCACAGAATATGAAAGAATTCTTAAAAAACGGCTCGTTGATGGGGAGTGTTCAACCGCACGACTCCCTGAAAATGCAGAAAGAAATCGGTTCCAAGATGTTCTTCCCTATGACGATGCCAGAGTGGAACTGGTCCCAACCAAAGAAAACAATACCGGTTACATCAACGCGTCACATATTAAGGTGAGGGGAATGTTTAGAGTGATACACAGGATGTGAAGTTTTCAGTTAAATTAGGAGAATGGTAAGAATTGTATTCATGTCTGTTTTCTAAAAACATCCTAGTTTTGAACCGTTGGGACAAACTGTACTGTAAGTTGGGAAATCCATACACCAAGGCTGGACACACAGTGTTTGCTGCCTCCATGTGTTGGATCCCTCTGCGCCCAGCGTTGTTACCAGGACTCTGGGATCACTCATTTGTCTGACTTGAGAACTTTGTGCTTCTAAATCTGAAGACCTCTTTATAGCTCATAAATTCTCTCAAGAGCAACTGAATTGCTAGTTTTTCCTTATCACATACCTACATGCATTTTTATGTAAAAGAAGTGTCTGGTGTTTACCAAAGCTTTTCCTTATGGTGGTGCCGTCTGCACTCTTTGCATACTCTCTTAGTCATTTGTTTTTAAGATTGTTACAAGTTTAAGTACTTCCGTGCCTCCAGCCTTTCTACCATTCTCCCAGTTTTAAATTTATTAATTAATTTATTTTTATTTTTTAGGCCACGTCGGGTCTTAGTTGCGGCACGAGAGATCTTCGTTGAGGCATGCGGGATCTTTTGTTGTGGTGCGCCGGCTCTTCATTGTGGCGCATGGGCTTCTCTCTAGTTGTGGCGTGCAGGTTTTCTCTTCTCTAGCTGTGGTGCATAAGCTCCAGGGCGTGTGGGCTCTGTAGTTGTGGCGCGTGGGCTTAGTTGCCCTGCAGCATATGGGATCTTAGTTCCCTGACCAGGGATCAAGCCCGCATCCCCTGCATTGGAAGGCGGATTCTTTACCACTGGACAACCAGGGAAGTCCCTCTTAATCATTTATTTTCTTTTGTAGCCATTAAATATTTTATAAGAACAATTTTTAAAAATTAATTAGTTTATTTTTGGCTGTGTTGGGTCCTCGTTGCTGCGCACAGGCTTTTCTCTAGTTGTGGCGAGCGGGGGCTACTCTTCGTTGTGGTGCGCGGGCTTCTCATTGCGGTGGCTTCTCATTGCAGAGCAAAGGCTCTAGGCGTGCGGGCTACAGTAGTTGTGGCACGTGGGCTCTAGAGCACAGGCTCAGTAGTTGTGGCGCATGGGTTTAGTTGCTCCACAGCATATGGGATCTTCCTGGACCAGGGATCAAACCCATGTCTCCTGCATTGGCAGGCGGATTCTTAACCACTGTGCCACCAGGGAGGTCCCTCTTTTAATCATTTTTAAACATTATTTTGTTCTTAAGCAGTGCTGCCTTTTCCCTGTAAACAGTATAATGCCGTTTAACTGGGGTAACGTTACACCCATTAAAATGGAAAAAGTGATGATTCACAACAGGAAGGTGAGAAAAGCCAGATGCTCTGTCTTCTGCGTGCTGGCTGGAGAGTCAGTTCGTTGTTTTGGGAAGAAGAAATTTCCTTATAGTGAGTGAATGAGTAAGTGTCTATGGGCAGGTGTTATTTCCCTTCTTTCCCACATTTTATTTAGTTTGCAAGTGATGTTTGATGAGAGCCGTTTCACACTTAAGACTTTGTAGAGGCCCAGCAGTCTGCCTGTGAAAGCCAGTACCCTTGATGGTCTTTGGGAATTTGTGCACAAGCTTTTTAAACATGGGCATAAGTTATTTAAGAACTGAGCATCTCTTTGGAATAGCTTAGCCAGTCTCCCATGACTGAGTGGATGACGGTTGAATAACATTGTGGTTCTGTGGTGGTATTTCAGAATCTTCAGAGACAGCCCGAAGAACAGTGGAAAGTGTCTGACTTCAGAATTCGTGGATCGACCACTTAGCAGTGTGGGACCTCCTTGTACTTATCTCTGAATAAGGAAGTGCTGACCTCCCCCATTTTGCTCCCCATGAGATCCTTCCTCCCTGGTTCTTGTTCGCTGTGGTGCCTGGTGCCACCCACCACGGGCCCAGTGGGAGGATGGGGGTGTGACTCAGGCTGCAGCCTTAAATGGGGGCATGAGTGGAAGGGTGTGTGGCCCAGAGTTTACACTCGGGGCACTCGGAAAGCGGTTATAGTCGTCACTCAGCAGTGGGGGAGCCGAGATTTAACCCAGATTTCCTGACTACAAATCCTGTAATTATTATATTAGACTGTTTTCAAGGAGGTTAAATCCTAAGTGGAAATTTAGTATGGAGGGTGATCCTGACTCAGAAGTTCAGAGGTGAACTCCTTAGGTAGGAAGACTTTTTTCCCCTAGAAATTTGATGTTTAACTTAGGTTTTGACTCAATTGCTAGTACTTGATTCAGTGTGTGTAGTACTTTACAAGGGAAAATTGTGTTTGAGATTTGGGATATGATGACGTTGATATTATTTTTATGAGAAGAACCTAACAGCAGCAATAACAATAATTTATTAAGAACCTATCATGTGCAGGGCACCATACATATTGGCTCGCTTAATCCTGACAACATGAGGGTAAGGAATATTTTTATTGTATAGATGAAAATTGAAATTTGGAGAGCTTAAGGAAATTGCCCTAGGTCACATAGATATTATGTGAATTCATAGCACATACGTTTATAAAGATATCAGTAATGGAAATGGCACTAATAAGGAAAAAGAATAAGATAAAAGTCTTTCTTTATTCTGCTGAATATTTCAGTTTGCTTTCTTCATGTTACCATGAACAAATGTATATACATGTATTATACACATACATATTAATTTCTTTTAAAACCTTTTGTAATTTCAGGTCTCTGTCAGTGGAATTGAATGGGATTATATTGCCACTCAGGGACCATTACAAAATACCTGTCAGGACTTTTGGCAGATGGTGTGGGAACAGGGAATTGCAATTATAGCAATGGTGACAGCAGAAGAGGTAAGTACTCATTTCTCTTAATTGATTTTCTCAGCCTCAGAAAAACAGTTTATGTTGATCATGTGTAATCTTGACTTTTAGAGAAATGGGCAGGGTAAGGTTGCAGTTCTGAGTTTCAGACATGCTCTCTGAGGGGCATCCTTTGCTGACTCTTGTATTATGTTTTAACTGCACTTGTCTCTAACAGGAGGGTGGAAGGGAGAAGAGCTTTAGGTATTGGCCACGCCTTGGTTCCAGGCACAACACTGTCACCTATGGAAGGTTTAAGATCACCACCCGGTTCCGCACAGACTCTGGCTGCTATGCCACCACGGGCTTGAAGATGAAGCACCTTCTCACGGGGCAGGAGAGGACGGTGTGGCATCTCCAGTACACAGACTGGCCTGAGCATGGCTGTCCAGAGGACCTCAAGGGATTTTTATGTAAGTATCTTCATTCCCAGCACAGCCTTTGCCAGAGCTGTTAAACCCACCACAGAGAGGAAGACTTAAGTTCCTGAAACATTTCCTTTATTTCTTTTATGTTGTCCCATGTAAGCTGTGGGCTTGTTTTAAAATAAAAATTTCAAGTGTTTAGGGGAGGCTTAACAGAAGAGGTTTTAAAGCATAATTTGGTAATGAGTAGAATGCCATTACTGACTCTTAGAGAGTTTCTCCTCCTTTTCATTTTGTAGATGAGAAAATGGAAGCCCAGGAGGAGTCAGGGACTTGCCCAAGATCACACTGTCAGTTAATAGTTGGGGTTGGTTAATTGGCACCTGGTGCTCTGTATCTGGAGTTTTCTCAATCAGTGGAGATGACCTGAAAATTGTCAATTTGATAGGCCTTAATCCCTTTGTATTTTTCTGTTTCATTGATATTTCACAGCATACCTTGAAGAGATCCAGTCTGTTCGACGCCATACAAATAGTACAAGTGAACCAAAAAGCCCCAACCCTCCATTACTGGTCCACTGCAGTGCTGGCGTGGGACGGACTGGCGTCGTTATTTTGTCAGAGATCATGATTGCCTGTCTGGAACACAACGAGGTGCTTATTTTCCCTGCTGATGAGGGAAGAGGTGGGCTGGGCACAAGGCCAGGGAGGAGAGGGACCTAGTGACCTGACAGCTCCTTCTGAACAAACGTCCTCAGGGATTCTCTATTGAAGATGCTAATGCTCTGATTGAAGCCACATTTCTGCTAGGACGCTCGCTCCCCCCACCCCCCCAGCCGCCAGGGTGTGCATTACCCTCAATACTGCTTCTCTCAATCTAGGTGCTGGACATCCCACGGGTGCTGGACATGCTGAGGCAACAGAGAATGATGATGGTTCAGACCCTCTGCCAGTACACGTTCGTATACCGAGTTCTCATTCAGTTCCTGAAAAGCTCAAGGCTCATATAAGCTCCCACAACTTCCTACGGGGACCCGATCATGTGAAGCGTTTACAGCGGAAAAAAAAAGTGCTTGCCGAACTCATGCTCTCTCCTCCACTCGGTGCACGCGGAATGCTACATCAGGACGTAAGTGACGGGATGAATGGTGGCACATGGAAGGAAGTATGCAGAGCACAAGGCTGAAGAGGGGGTTTAACCTGGGAAAGATGCCGAAGAGGAAGGACTTGGTTCTGAGGGCGTTGCCCTGCTCTGATCTGTCCGATTTGCAGTCCTTGCACACATTTGGAGATTGTATTTTCTAGATAATTCTCTATTTCGCTGAAGCTACGCTGGGCAATTCTGGCAATCACTAAGGCGTATAGGTTTCTATCTTAAACTAGTTTTTGATAATGGAATTTTATTTTATGACTAAAATATTTGGGGTTTTCTTATTAAGAAACTGAACTTTCCATGGGGATGATCCACAGATGTGAGTAGTTCCTATATAACTTTGTATTTAAAACTATGTTATTATCTTTTGTTATTTTAAAGAAATCTTGGGTACTTAACAATGTAGTTACCAAACCCCAAGCTACAAGAAGAATCTAAAAGTGTTATTTTGAAACATAGAAAACATTTTTATATTCAGAAAATTTTTTATCCTAAAAATTCTATATATTTGTACCTTCTGTATTTTCCAAACAAGAGTTCAGCTCATTAAGGTACTGAGATGAGTCAGTTAATGTAAGTTAAAGTTGGGAATGAAGGCACATTATTTAAAATGTATGAAAATAATCAGATTCACTATTTTTTTTTCAGTATTATTCATAAACCCAAATGAGTTTGATTTTATTGGTTGAAAATGAAGTGAAAAACAGTTGCATAAGATGGTTTTAAGCACTTTTTGTTGTTGAAAACAATAAATCTGAGTTTTTAATATATGTGTTGCTTTATAGGTGAAACAGTAACAACGGACATATTGAAAGTGTTTTGGAAGAGATCAGGAATGAGTATGTAGGATGACTAGGACAAGAGTAAGTGCAGTGTACATGCAAGATGGTAAATGCAAGCTGCCTTTGTCTTTACAGAAAATGCAGTGTTATCTATACTCAGACTGAGATGCTGGCATGGAGAGTGGGGGGCTTGGGAAGAGTCTGGGGGCTGACCTCCCGAGGAAGGTATCCCCAGGAAATTCAGGGCCCATCACTGGCAGTGACTCGCTCTGTTTCCTTGAAGTTCTTCCACCTGCACCTCTCTTCTTTTTTTTGACAAATCAGGTTTATATGATGATTAAAAGAAGCCTTGGGGCTTCCCTGGTGGTGCAGTGGTTGAGAGTCCTCCTGCCGATGCAGGGGACACAGGTTCGTGCCCCGGTCCGGGAAGATCCCACATGCCGCGGAGCGGCTGGGCCCGTGAGCCATGGCCGCTGAGCCTGCGCGTCCGGAGCCTGTGCTCCGCAGTGGGAGAGGCCGCAACAGTGAGAGGCCCGCGTACCACAAAAAAAAAAGAAGCCTTGAAGAGGCTTTATTTTCTTTTGGTTGAAAGAAGGGAAGTGTTAGTAATAGTCTTACCTCATCTCCCCAAACCACAGCCCAGACTTGCGGGGCCCCCAGAGATGACTGTGGTGTTCAAGATGTACCGGAACTTTGGCTCCTTAATCCTTTAACTTCACACCTGAGGTCAACTTTAGCTCCGCTCCCCCCAGTCCCATGTAGGCCCATCCCAGGGGGCAGGACCAGGCCAGGCTGGCATGGCCTGGTCACATGGGAGCTGAAGAGGTAAGGAAGGACGAACTGGTCCGTTTAGCTGAGCAGCCATCTCTTTCTTCCTTCTTGAGGCTGCGTCTCCACAACACAGAGTTTCTGAAATGTCAAATCCAGGATTATTTCCCCAAATTACAATATCCTAGGGATAGTTCTGATTCCCGTGTTAACTCCTAAAGCAGTTTAACTCATTATTGTCACTGCTAAGTGTGTGTCATTAGCTGTAAGTCAGGATTTCCTTTATACAGTGTGTGTATCTGCCGAACTATGACCCAGAAACCAACCACCTGAGAGGAAAATTCAGACGGTATTGATGAAAATGAATATTGAAAGTGGGCATATTTCTCACTTGGGAAGAAAGAATTGATTTTAAATCTAAAATTGTTTAAAGAACAATAGACCCAAGTGCAAATATTCAGGAAGAGCTCCCCAGGAGAATGGAATAAGAGTTTTTTATTGTAATATTTCCCATCTCCACACCATGTAGAGTGTTTCTGATGCTTTTTTTCTTCCATGGTACGTTTTTTAAAAAAATGCTTTTCTGTCAGGTTTAAACATTTTGAAGTGTCCCATTGACAAGAACATACTGTAAAACAAAATCTAAAGAGTAATATATGGTATGTTTGTGTTCCTGTTGTAATAATTTGATTATAAGAAAATTACTTATGAGGGCTAAATTACACTGTATAAATGTCACTCTTAAAACTCGCATGTTTGTCATAGCTTTAAGACCCATGTAATTTTTTTGTGTCCCTTTTGAATTTTTAAACTTTTAATTAACAGTTAGTGAATACGAAAGTATTTCTGAATAAAAATAAATCTACATTACTAGACTTTGAAGTAATGTGATTTTCAAGAGCAAACTGTAGAACATTGAGGTTTCCATAGGCTCAGCCATGTCTGAGTTGAGGATGTTCTGTCTGCCAAACTTACACAGTGCTTCAGTATTTTAGTGTCTTTTAGTTCGTTGATATTTCATATCAAAATTACCCAAATATACATTTTCATAAAAAGGTTATAAACCAGTGTTTTCCACTGATCATTGTTGGCATCTCTGGCCTCAGTTTTCCTGATTAGTGGACTCTTTTGATAAAATACTCTAGTTGGTAGTTTTGAACACAGGAAGTATTCATTTTAGAGTATGATTTGAAATGTTAATTGCAATCATTATTACATATATTCTTCTGGAACATCCACTGTGAAATATTCAGAAAACCCTAGAATTTAGCCTTCAAAACATTTTGGCAGGATTAAAACAGAAGCTGTGCTTTCTTAGAAATTCCCAGAAAGACCAAGGTCTAGGCAGAAGCCCAGAGGAGGAGTGTAGGATGGAGTGATGACAGCATGGCATGGCCAACTTTTTTGTGAAGCTTTCATCATCAGAAGAGACATCATTTCAAATGGGTTTGATAAGTTAATGTTCACAATATTAAGAAAATATGAATGTCCATATTATACATAATATGAAACTTTACATGTATTAAAATATAAAGAATTACTGTTTATTGTAAATCATTTAAAAAATCAGACATTTTAAAGGAATTCTTTTAGATGTAAATTTAGGGAATTTGCTTTCCATCAAGATTTCATGTGGAATAAGCTAAACCATCTCTTTCCAGTTTAAAGTTTATTAAAATAATCTAAATTGGAGGGGGCTCTTTTTTTGAACTGAGGGATAGACATTTCAAAAATAGAGGAATAGATACTTTAGGAGTTTGCCTGGGAAAACAATTCTCGAAAGAACATGAATTTTTCAAATTCCTGAGATAAGGGCTCCATTTACCCTAAGTAGCTATAATTACTTATACAAAATGAGGAAAAATCAGAAAGTCTGGTTGTTTAAGGTTTGCATGTGTTAGGGGTGGGTGGATAGAGGATTTCAGAACACATTTGAAGGGGTACTTGGGTTGTTAAAGTGGCATAGTTTTCTATATAGTTCAGGTAGTTCCCAAATAAGAATTAATGCTCTAAAAGGTCAGATATATGTTAAATTATTGAGAGTATTGTTTACAAGGGGAAATGTTGCTATAAGTGGGTATCAACTTTCTTGGTTTGCCCTCCCAAAGCTTATTTAAACCACAGGGGCTCTGAAAGGTAGACAGTGGTGGTCACCTCCCCGTCACCCGTACTCTAAGAAAAATACACAGCAGCTTTCCTCCCTACTGCACCATGCTGGTGAGAGCACAAAGCATTCTCTCTGGGTCTGCCGGGCAGTGGGGACAGGGCCTCAGCAAGCAACTGGAGTCAGATTGATCCAGTGTTCCATGAGAGAATTCCACATAACGTTAATGTCCCATCATTTGCCTCAGAAACTTGAGTGGCACATGAAGAGTAAGGAACAGCATGGGATATATGATGAAGATGAGCAGGGATGCTGCCCCTGAGACTGCCTGTGAGGCGGGGCGGGATGAAGGAGGATGAATTGGCAGTGCCTCCCCGTACCTTTCCTGTTTCCGTTTACGTATCTACCTTTGGATTGTCACTGGCCTGAAATGGGAAGTAGAAGATGGGCCTGGATCAAGAAGGAAGTATAAGGTCTGCAGCACCCAGCTGAGGAAGCAGCAGTTCCAAGGCGAATATTCCCCTGTAAAGAGTATCTCTAGGTCACATGTATATGATTAGGGCCTGGCTGCACATCATATTTCCAAAAATGTTTAAATTAAAATGCTTAGCTTTAAAAAACTAGAGTAAATCTGAACATTGTCCAATATGTTGCTGGGTTAAGAAAGAGGTAGTAACCATATACTTATTTTAAATTATCCTTTAATATTATAAATAAGTATAAATGAGTGATAAGAAAGGAGTAATTGTTTGAACTACCTGTAGAACTAACAGTTTGGCTAACATACTGTTCCAAATTTTTGAAAATTACTTACTAGTTAGATATTTTGATCATTATTCCTTCCATTAAATATGACTGTGGTGTGTCATATAAAAGGACCATTTAAAATCTCGAAGATGCTTTGGCTTTGAATCTATAATACAGTGTACCCATACTGGCTATAGCAGTACATGATTCCAGTGTAATACACCTGCAATTTTAAACTGAACTGGTAGGAGGTTTTTAAACGGTGTATGAAGCCCAGTACTTAACTTTGGTTGTCACTACTGACATTTTAAGTGCGCCTGTGTAGTTTAAATTCACGCTCTAAAAGCTTGAGGAAGAAAAGATGCACAGTATTCACTCTTAGGAACAGGTCTATGCTACCAAAGAGATTCAGAAGGTTGGGTTATCTGGGTTATCCGGAGCATGAACCTGTCGATCCTCATTTTTGGGGGTAGGTTGATGAGACTAGTACAGATTTAATGGCAACTGGCTTTTCACTTCCACCTGCTCATTTATCAGCTGAGGAAAACTGAACAAGTAAATGGGAAATATAAGTTCAGCTACTCATTTTTCATAAGAGTGCAAGTATCGCACGTCAGACTGCTCTCATAAATGCTGAGACTGTCCAAACATTTTTTTTCCAGAAATTTATTAGAAATCACATGAAAGCAATGGACCATTGAATGAGACAAATCTTTTGTTACTTACTTTATAGTAATATTTATTGAAATGTAATTTAATCTTAGAGTTAAGTGTCCTAAAAGGATCTAATGGTTTTGTAGTTTTACTGGAATAATACCACACTGGTTCAGTCTAACAAATAACCTGATAAAAAGTAAATATTCTCCAGAGGTGACAAACTTATTTCCAGACAGATTTAATAAAAACAAGATTAAAAGTAATACAAAATCTTAAGCCCACAAAACAAAAAGGGGAAATAAAAAAACAGAAGGAAAAAATGCTATAATTTGTGACACCTTTTAGATTAGTAGTGCTCTAGTGGGTTTTATTTGCATAGTTTGGTTTTGTGACCCAATAGAGGAGTTGAAGTCGTTTTTTGTTTTTGTTTTTGTTTTTTTTTTCTGGTACGTGGGCCTCTTACTGCTGTGGCCTCTCCCATTGTGGAGCACAGGCTCCGGACGCGCAGGCCCAGCGGCCATGTATCACGGGCCCAGCCGCCCCGCAGCATGTGGGATCTTCCCGGACCGGGGCACGAACCCGTGTCCCCTGCATCAGCAGGTGGACTCCCAACCACTGCGCCACCAGGGAAGCCCTGAAGTAGTTATTGTACAGGGATGATTCTTAATGTTTTTGAAGATTTTCTGTTAGTATCAGTTTAGACTCTCCATATTAGATTCTTTTTCATTTCTATATTAAAAGTAAGCAGCTTAATTTCTTGTTGTAGAATTGAGCTATTACACAATTATCAGTGTATTCGGTTTCTAAGCAACACATTGAAAATGAGAAAGCTAAAAATATTTTTAGAAATATTAAGCCTTAAGAAAACTTGGTTGCACAGTAAACCTTACTCAAAAGATTGGCATTGGGCCATTAGAATATATTTTTGCTTTTTACTGTATTCTCAAGTAATTTTTTACATTAAAATATAAAACACTTAGTTTTTATCATGCAAATGTTAAATATTTTCCTATAAAAACACCTTAATGTTTCACTCTTTTGTGCTTAAAAGAGGGAGATATTTTGAATTCTAATGATGCTGTTTAGTTCAGATGAAGAATTACACTGCAACAGAACATAAATTTGTTGTGTATTTCTTTGTTAAAAACTGAAGCAATCCAAGCCCTACCCTATGCTAGCAAAGCATAGTTTAAAAATGAATATCTAGATAACAAGCCTATTTAAATAAAAATTCCAACAGTAAATATGACTTAATAGTCCTAAGAAACTTAAAAATTTGGAGAAAATGTTTATGAAATATATTTCCTCAGAAAGTTGCCCTATAATTCAAACAATGCACTGGGAATTCTACCTTTTTGAAATCAGGTTGTATACATAGTTGTCTAGTATTTTCTAGTTTAAAAAGCAATTTTATGTGCTACTGTCTGATGATCAATAACGTAAAAATGTATAATCAGAAGAGCTTAGATCTTCTAAACTGTCATTGGTTTATAAAAGTGTGTACATTTAATGGGCAGAAAAGTTTGAATGAATGTAATATATGTGAAATGAATATATTATAGTCTATTTTTGCCATAAAATAAATATTGAAGCAAGATATGATTTGTGTGTGAATAGTTCAATTAAAGCTTTTTTTGTTTGTTTGTTTTGTTTTATAATTTTAGATCTGATCGCAAAGAGGCATATAATTAGCCCCATTTCCCCAGTGGGTTATTTTAAATTATGTTCCAGACAATAGATGTTTCTTCTAGTAGTTGTCAGTTTGTCGTCACACATCTGCACCATCATCCATCACTTACGAGTTAGAATGCATCTTATCAAAACAGCCAACTTCATTAATCAGGACATTTGTGGAACAATTAATATATTTGAAGAAAAAATATTTATGTACTTCCCAGCAGGTTGGCAGAGCTCCTCACACTATCATCCCTGTAGTGGAACTTACTGTTATTGGTTGAATGTCCACTTCATTTATTAGTGGGGTTGTTTCTGGACCAGCAACATTGGAAACTTGTTAGAATGCAGATTCTTGAAGTACATCCCAGGTCTGAAAATTCTGAATCAGAAGCTATGGGCATGGGACCCAGAAATCTGCCTTAACAAGGTCTCCAGATGATTCTGATATATATTAAAGTGGGAGAACTGCTTTAGTTATTAAAAAGCCGTAGATGTTCAATATAGACCACAACTTGGGATTCATTACATAGCCAGGCTACAAGTAATAGGCACTAAGGTTTACTTAGGCAAGTTTTATTAGGTTAATGATATTTACAATTGTGGTAGACTGATGGGCCCCCAAAGGTGTCCATGTTCTGTTCCCCTGAAGTTGTGAATGTTATCTTACATGGCAAAAGGGACTCTGCAGATGTGATTAAAGCAGGGTTCTTGAGATGAGGAGATTGTCCTGGATTATCCATGTGGGCCCAAAGTAACCACAGGGTCTTTCTACAAGGGAGGCAGGAGGGTCACATTGAGCAGAGATGTGATGACGAAAGCAGAGGTGAGAGAGATTTAAGGATGCTAAACGGCTGGGCTTGATGATGGAGGAAGGGGCCACAAGTGAAGAAATGCAGGCAGCCTCTAAAAACTGGAAAAGGAACATGCTCCCCTAGAGCCTCCAAGAAGAATGCAGCCCTGGCAACATCTTGATTTCGTGACTTCTGGCTTCCAGAACTGTAAGTTGGTAAATATGGGGGTTTTATTTCAAGCCACTACGTTTGTGAAACTTGTTAGAGCAGCAATAGACAACTAATAAAAGAGTTTAAACTTCCTTGCAGGTAAAATGAAGGTCAACTCACCTTTTTAAAATATTTTTTTAATTTTAATTTTTTAAATTGAGGTATACTTTACTTACAATATTGTATGTTTCAGGTGTACAACACAGTGATTCACGATTCTTAAAGGTTATACACCATTTGTAGTTATTAGAAAATACTGGCTATATTCTCTGTGCTGTACAATATATCCTTATTGCTTATCTATTTAATTTTTTTACTTATTTTTATCTTTATTTATTTATTTTTTTGCAGTACGTGGGCCTCTCACTGTTGTGGCCCCTCCCGCTGCGGAGCACAGGGTCTGGACGCGCAGGCTCAGCGGCCATGGCCCATGGAACCAGCTGCTCCGTGGCATGTGGGATCCTCCTGGACCGGGGCACGAACCCGTGTCCCTTGCATCGGCAGGCGGACTCCCAACCACTGCGCCACCAGAGAAGCCCCTTTTACTTATTTTTAAAATTATTTATTTATTTATTTGGCTGCGTTGGGTCTTCATTGCTGCATGTGGGCTTTCTCTAGTTGTGGTGAGCAGGAGCTATTCATTGTGGTGCACGGGCTTCTCACTGTGGTGGCTTCTCCTGTTGTGGAGCGTGGGCTCTAGGTGCGCAGGCTTCAGTAGTTGTGGCTCGCGGGCTCTAGAGCACAGGCTCGGTAGTTGTGGCACAGAAGCTTAGTTGCTCCATGACATGTGAGATCTTCCCAGACCAGGGCTCGAACCTTTGTCCCCTGCATTGGCAGGCAGATTCTTAACCACTGCACCACCAGGGAAGTCCCCGCTTATCTATTTTATACCTAGTAGTTTGTACCTCCTAATCCCCTGTACCTCTTTTGCCCCTCCCCTTTCCCTCTCCCCACTGGTAACCACCAGTTTGTTCTCTATGTCTGTTTCTGTCTCTGTTTTGTTATATTCACTAGTTGTATTTTTTGATTCCACATATAAGTGATATTATACAGTATTGGTCTTTCTCTGATTTATTTCACTAAGCACAAAACCCTCCAAGTCCATCCATGTTGTTGCAGATGGGAAATTTTCATTCTTTTTATGGCTGAGTAGTATTCCATTGTGTATATATACCACATCTTCTTTATCCATTCATCTGTCGATGGACACTTAGGTTTCTTCCATAACTTGGCTATTGTAAGTAATGCTGCTATGAACATTGGAGTGCCTGTATTTTTGCAAATTCGTGTTTCATTTTCTTCCGGCATATAGCCAGCATTGGAATTGCTGGGTCGTATGGTAGTTCTGTTTTAAATTTTTGAGGACCCTCCATACTTTTTTCCACAGTGGCTGCACCAATTTACATTCCCACCAACAGTGTAGGAGGGCTCCCTTTTCTCCACATTCTCACCAGCATTTCTTTTTTGTGGTCTTTTTGATGATAGCCATTCTGACAGATGTGAGGTGGTATCTCATTGTGGTTTTGATTTGCATTTCTCAGATGATAAACGATGTTGAGCATCTTTTCATGTGCCTGTTGGCCATCTGAATGTCTTCTTTGGAGAAATGTCTATTCAGGTCTTCTGCCCATTTTTTAGTCAGGTTGTTTGGTTTTTTGATGTTGAGTTATATGAGCTATTTATATATTTTGGATATTAACCCCTTATCAGTCTTGTCTTTGGCAAATATTTTCTCCTATTCAGTAGGCTGCCTTTTTGTTTTCTTGGTGGTTTCCTTTGCTGTGCAAAAGCTTTTAAGTTTAATTAGGTGCTATTTGTTTATTTTTGCTCTTGTTTCCTTTGCCTTAGGAGTTAGATCCAAAAAAATATTGCTACGATTTATACCAAAGAATACTGTGCCTATGTTCCCTTCTAGGGGTTTTATCGTTCAGGGTCTTAAATTTATGTCTTTAATCCATTTTGAGTTTATTTTTGTATATAGTATTAGAAAATGTTCTAATTTCATTCTTCCACATGTAGCTGTCCAGTTTTTCCAGCACCATTTATTGAAGAGACTGTCTTTTTTCCAATATATATTGTTGCCATCTTTGTCTTAGATTAATTGACTATAAGTGTGTGGGTTTATTTCTGGGCACTCCATTCTGTTCCATTGATCTATGTATCTGTTTTGTGCCAGTACCACACAGTTTATGTTAAAAAGATTTTTTTTGAAGTATAGTTGCTCTACAATTACATGAGTTACGGTTGTACTATATAGTGGTTAACAATTTTTAAAGGTTATGCTCTGTTTATAGTTATTATAACATATTGGCTGTATTTCCTGTGTTGTACAATAGATCCTTGTAGCTTATTTTATACCTAAGTACCATACTGTTTTGATTACTGTAGCTTTGTAATGTAGTCTGAAGTCAGGGAGCATGATTCCTCCAGCTCTGTTCTTCTTTCTAAGGATATTTTTGGGCTGTTTATGGTCTTTTGTGTTTCCATTCAAATTTTAAAATTATTTGTTCTAGTTCTGTGGAAAATACCATTGGTATTTTGATAGGGATTGCATTGAACCTGTAGATTGCCTTGGGTAGCATGGTCGTTTTAACAATATTAATTCTTCCAATCCATGAACACGGTATATCTTTCCATCTGTTTGTGTTGTCTTCAATTTCTTTCATCAGTGTCTTATAGTTTTTGGAGTATGGGTCTTTTGCTTCTTTACGAAGGTTTATTCCTAGCTAGGCATTTTATTCTTTTTGATGTGGTTGCAATTGTGATTGTTTCCATAATTTCTCTTTCTAATAGTTCATTGTTAGTGTATAGAAATGCAGCAGATTTCTGTATATTAGTTTTGTATCCTACCACTTTAATGAGTTCATTGATGAGCTCTAGTAGGTTTTTGGTGGTGTCTTTAGGGTTTTCTATGCGTAGTATCATGTCCTTTGCAAACAGTAACAATTTTACTTCTTCCTTTCCAATTTGGATTCTTTTCTTTCTTTTTTTTTTTCATCTGATTCCTGTAGCTAGAACTTCCAATACTATGTTGAATAAAAGTGGCTTGTTCCTGGTCTTAGAGGAAATGCTTTCAGCTTTTCACCATTCAGCATGATGCTAGGTGTGTGCTTATCATATATGGCCTTTATTATGTTGCAGTATGTTCCTTCTATACCCATTGGGTATGATGTTAGCTGTGGCCTTGTCATATATGGTCTTTATTAGGTTGAGGTATGTTGTTCCCTTTATACTCTGTTTTTTTTTAAAATCATAAATAGATGTTGAATTTGACAAAAACTTTTTCTGCATCTATCAAGATGATCATATGATTTTTTAAAAATAAATTTATTTATTTGTTTATTTTTGGCTGTGTTGGGTCTTCGTTGCTGCGTGCGGGTTTTCTCTAGTTGTGGTGAGCGGGGGCTACTCTTCGTTGTGGTGCGTGGGCTTCTCATTGCGGTGCTTGTTGCAGAGCATGGGCTCTAGGCGCACAGGCTTCAGTAGTTGTGGCACACAGGCCCCATATTTGGGGCTCGCGGGCTCTGGAGTGCAGGTTCAGTAGTTGTGGCGCCCAGGCTTAGTTGCTCTGTGGCATGTGGGATCTTCCCGGACCAGGGCTTGAACCCATGTCTCCTGCATTGGCAGGCGGATTCTTAACCACTATGTCACCAGGGAAGCCCGATGGTCATATGATTTTTATTCTTCAGTATGTTAACGTGGTGTATCACATTGGTAGATTTGTGGATATTGAACCAGCATACATCCATGAGATAAATCCCACTTGATCATGGTGTATTATCATTTTAACATGATGTTGGGTTCGGTTTGCCAGTATTTTGTTGAGGATTTTTGCATCTATGTTCATCAGTGATATTGGCCTGTAATTTTTTTGTGTGTGTCTGATATCTTTGTCCTTTTTGGTATCAGGGTAATGCTGGCCTCATAGAATGAATTCAGAAGCATTCCTTCTTCTGCAATTTTTTGGGAACAGTTTGAGAAAGATAGGTGTTAGCTTTTCTCTAAGTGTTTGGTAGAATTCACTTGTGAAGCCATCTGGTCCTGGACTTTTGTTTGTTGAGAGTTATTTTCATTACTGATTCAATTTCATTACTGGTAATTGGTCTGTTCAAATTTTCTATTTGTTCCTGGTTCAGCCTTGGGAGATTGTATATTTCTAGGAATTTGTTCATTTCTTCTAGGTTATCCATTTTATTGGCATATAGTTGTTTGTAGTAACCTCTTATGGTCTTTGTAATTCTCTGGTGTCAGTTGTAACTTCTTTTTCATTTCTAATTTTATTGATTGGGCTCTCCTTTTTTCCCTTGAGCTTTGTTAAAGGTTTATTGTTTTTCTTTTCAAAGAACCAGCTCTTCATTTCATTGATGTTCTCTATTGTTTTTTTAGTTTCTCTTTCATTTATTTCTGCTCTGATCTTTATGATTTCTTTCCTTCTACTAACTTTGGAGTTTGTTTGCTTTTCTTTTTCTTTTACACTGAAGGACTTACTCCTTCAGTGTAAGGTTAGGTTGTTTATTTGATATTTTTGTTTCCTGAAGTAAGTTTGTATTGCTCTAAACTTTCCTCTTTCAACTGCTTTTGCTGTGTCACATAGATTTTGGATCATTGTGTTTTCATTTGTCTTCAGGTATTTTTTGATTTCCTCAGTGATCTATTGGTTGTTTAGTAGCGTATTGTTTAGCCACCATGGGTTTGTAGTTTTGCAATTTTTTTTTGTAGTTGATTTCCTGCCTCATAGCATCATGGTTGGAAAAGATGCTTGATATGATTTCTATTTTCTTAAATTTACTGAGGCTTGCTTTGTGGCCTAGCATATGATCTAGCCTGGAGAATGTTTCATGTGCATTTGAAAAGAATGTGTATTCTGCTTTTAAAAAATATATTTATTTATTTAGGCTGTATTGGGTCTTAGTTGTGGCACATGGGACCTTTCATTGTGGCACGTGGTCTCTTATCATTGCAGTGCGCGGGCTTCTCTCTAGTTTTGGTGCACGGGC